GGGAAGGAGTGTTTTTAATCTTTTTCTTTCTTGCTTGCTGTTTGCTCTATTGTGGAATCTCCAGAGTTCTGTAGTCAGCATTTTTTCCAAACAAATTCCTCTACATATTTTTAATTGCAAATTATGTTAGGGAATTCTTTTCTCTCTGAAAGTGGAGGATTTCTTTGTGGGGTTTGTTCCGTGGGTGGCTGTAATTATTGGCAGTTTTGTCTCTAGCAAGTTCTACTTATTCCTCAGCACTGAGCAGTAACTATTGTTTGGCTAGGATTTACTGGCTTCAATCTTTTCTATTTAGTAAGTAGGAGGGGAACAAAATTGCTAGGGAGAGTAATCCAGGGACAGAATTTTTGTCCTTAACATTTTGTACTTCACCCTTGTTGTTCTTAAGAGAACTGTTTTCTAATATTTGGACCCTTATGTTTCCATGAGCCCTTCTAGGAGTTCTTTTTTCATTCCTGTCCCTGTTTTTCTCCTGATATTTTATGCATCATTTACACATAAAATGGTATTTTCTGTTTTAAATTTGTCAGTTGTTCGTATTTAACATACAACCTAAATTTAGGGGTTGAAACTTGACATACGCCACTGACAAGACTAATGAAGTTTTTCCCTTTGAACGTTTGAAACTATCCCAAATTCAAACTATTCAGAGACTCTTTTCACTGATTATTATATGTGTTTAATTAGGGCCCTTACATTCCTATTTTTGGCAGTGAAGTTTACTTACATGTACAAACCAGACCTGTTCTAAGCTTGTCAAGAAGCTGAAACCAACTAGTCTTTCTTACATCTAGTAAATATAATCAAAGAACAGAGAAGTCTTTTGTTCTATGACTCTTATTATGGCCAGGATATGACTAATAGTATCAGTCAAAGTGCTGTATAGAGGATTGTCAGGTCCTCATGCCCTAAAGCTTTCTCTCATTTTTTTTTCAAAGGAAAAAGTCTATATGGTCTTGTAAGTTTTAACGTCAATTATCCCCAATTTCTTTGAGTGTAAACTGGGATATCAGTTTGTGCTACCTCCTCAACTTAAAAAGGAGTTGGAAGACAAAATTTTCTATTAATTTTTACATAATTGGACAAATAAATCACTTAGGAGCATCCTGGTACCAATCAACAAGCATTTACTATGTGCATATTAATGTAAACTACAAAAAAAAATTAAAAAATATAGGCCTGGCCCCAAAGGAATTTGTTTGGAAGATGCAGTTTATATTGGTGAAACAATTAGAAAAAGATAAGGCAGTATTTAATTAGAAGCCAAATTGTGTGTATAGACTTGGATAAGTACTTTAAGGAGTTCAGAGAAGAAAAATAAAGACTTCATGAGCCAAAATAATCAGGGAAGCCTGCATGGGGGAAACAGATTGAGTTAGGCCTTAATAGATGAGAAGGGTTTAGGAGAGCGGTCTACCTTGTCCCAAAAGGCAGAAAAGGGAGAAATGAATGTGAATTTCGAAGAAGATAAATTTAGTCTTGGGTAAGGAAAAAAACTTTCCCACCATTGGAGCAATTCAAAAGTATGGCGGGCTTCCTTGGGAGGTCATGGATTCTGTCTCACTAGAGAAGAGACTAGATGACAACTTGTTAGGTATGGGTCGCTTACAGCTTTGGGATTTTGTGAGGGCTTGCCAGGTGAAAAGACGAACAGAAACATGGAGTCCAAATGAGCATTTTGAGTGTGAGAGGAAGAATTAAGATTTGTTTGATGTGTTAGGAAATAGTGAGAAATACAGTTGAATAGGTGGGAACTCCCAGTGCCTTTTATATAGTCTCTTCAGTTGACCTGCTAAAACGCATGAGTTGATAGAACCATTTTTTATCCAGAAAGCTGTATTTCACCATTCAATGAGAGTAGCAAACCAACCTTGGTTTTTAGAGTTTCCTCTTGAGTGATTCAAACCTTTGGCCTATCTAACAACTAAGTTTCTAAAGGCTACCACCTGTGTTCTGTATTACTATCATATCCCATCCAGTTTTTCTGGTGCATTGCACATACCCAGTAAATAATCTCAGTGATGAGATGATTATCTCGCTAGGCTTGGTCAATAAGGTGAAGAGGAAAAGTTACTGAGTTGGAATAGGAATTGTTATTGGTTTGAGCAGTGACTCTGTCTCAAAAACTTTTTACAAATATTATTTGTTATATAGAATAGCTCAGTACAGTGCCTGGCACATTATTGTTGAGTCGTTCAGTAGTGACTGATTCTTCGTAACCCTATGGACCATACTGTCCATGGGGTTTTCCTGGCAAAGATACTGGAGTGGTCTGCCATTTCCTTCTCAAGTGGATTTAGGCAAACAGAGGTTAAGTGACTTGCCCAGGGTCACACAGCTAGTAAGTGTCTGAGGCGGGAATTGAACTCAGGTCTTCCTGACTCCAGGTGCAGTGCTCTATCCACCAAGCCACCAGCTGCCTACTCCTGGCATATAGTAGGCACTTAATAAATGTTAATTGACTAACCAGCTGTCTCAGAGGTGGCAGGAGAAGGGATGCTGGGAGAAATTTTGATGTTAAAAATAAAACAAAAGATATTTTAAAATGTATTTTTAAAAAAAAATCTTTTTACTAGGAAAATCCTACAGTAGCTTAGCAAAGCAGCTAGTAAAAAGCAGTCCTGGGGCAGCTAGGTGGTGCAGTGGATAGAGCACTGGCCCTGGATTCAGGAAGGCCTGAGTTCAAATCTGGCCTCAAACACATAACACTTACTAGCTGTGTGACCCTGGGCAAATCACTTAACCCCATTGCCCAACGAAAATAAATAAATAAATAAATAAATAAAAAGCAGTCCTTAGGTAGTGGAATGATGGTTTTAAAAATTAAGGAAACATTTATCTGTGTGTGTGTGTGTGTGTGTGTGTGTGTGTGTGTGAGGCAATTGGGGTTAAGTGACTTGCCCAGGGTCACACAGCTAGTAAGTGCCAAGTATCTGAGGCTGAATTTGAAATCAGATCCTCGTTACTCCAAGGCCAGAGCTCTATCCACTGCGTCAGCTAGCTGCCTCGCATTTATCTTTTAAAAGTTTACCTGACCTTGAAATTGTCCTTTTAAAAAGGAAAACTCGTGGACACTACCACCCTTTTGCCTTCCAAGTCTATACAAGTATGAAACAGAAACTTTAAATCCCATGACTCTAAAGCAGTTTGGTGCATATTTCTGCAAAACAAGTAGCAGGAAACATGCAGTTTACTATGATAGTTAAACACTGGTCCTGGGTGCCGCTGCTCAGACCATAAGGTTTGAGATAATTTGATTTGGTGCATTTGTTTTCTTAAGACAGTGAAAGAAATGGCTTTTAAGGAGGTTTATCAGAGGACCACTCACTAAGCTTAGAAAGACCTGCCTTTTCAGGGATGAAGTTACATTGCCAACAAAGATTCTGTCAAAACACTCTTGTGTTGTTTGATTTTTAAAAATCTGGTCAACCTGCATTAGCAACATTTTCTCCTGGACCTCGGAAGGCAATGTCACCAAAAAGACATGTCAATGTCTCTTCTTTCCTATCTTTCCCCCAGCCCATTTCTGATAATTCATTTTTAAGACCAGTTCTCCAACCCAATTTTAAGAATGAATTAAATGTGAAAGATAATGTAAATTCTCATATTCTCTGTGGAACAGATGGTTCCCTTCACTTGATAGATGAAGAAATATTGATCCCCAGAATAGAAAGCTATCTTGATGATAAAAAAAAAAAGACTAACCTTTAGATCTTACACCAGACCTTATTGGCTTGACTCCAAAGAAACAAAGCCGGATCTGCTACAGAATATTTGAAAACAGTGTGCAGTCAGCTCTTTGAATCTTGCTTTATATTTTCTGTGAAAGTCTGTTACTTTCAGTATAGGAGCCACCATGCTACAGACCCTTAGGCCAATGAACAACATTTTAAGGGCTAAATCTTTTATTTGAGGAGGAAGAACAGGCTCCGTATCTGAATTAATTGGAACAAAAATCTATTCAGCCAATTCTGTTCTTGTACAGATAGGTATTCCCCCCATGGTTTCGAATTAATTAATTAGTGAAAAAACATTTCTTAAGCTCCTACTATGTGGCAGGCTCTGGGGAACAAAGACAGAAGTAAAATCATTTCCTGTCCTCAAGGAATTTACGTTCTATTAGGGGAGACCACACATAAAACAGAGTGATGACAGGGGAAGAGAGGTTTTTTTTCTGGGGAGGCAGTGGAATGCTGAGTGACCCCATTCCTTTTCAGAACCAATGGTAGGATTGATTTGATTACTGTTTGAAGAGCCAGAAGTGACTAGAGTGGAGGTTGGGCCAGTGGCTAAACGTTCAAGGTAGGTAGATGTGAGGTATGGTCTAAGGCCAGCTAGATGTAGCTTTTTAAGCAAGTTTGCATTTAATTACTGGCCAGTTAAACTCAATCCTAGGGAAAGTTCCAAGCTGAGCACGTTATCTCATTCAGAGAGGGAGTCTTGTCTCTGGTGGGGAGCATAGGGCAATTAGGGACGTGTGAAGCATGATCTGTGAACATGTAGATATCCTTTAAGCAAGTTTGCTTTTGAAAGAATATTATTTAGAACCAGAATCATAGGGATACATTTAGCTAAGAGAAAAAAGTGGAGAGACTGAAATTGAGCGGATCAGTTATTTCTTCTAAGAAGAAATGCTGATTGTTGGTAATCTCTGGTAAGTCCTTATGAATATTTCTGATGCAGGTTCAATCACCTGTAGACTCTGCCACAATGTCTCCAGTGGAGAGGACAGCAGCTTGGGTTCTGAATAATGGGCAATATGAAGAAGATGAAGACGATACTGAGCCAAATCAAGATGATGTCAAGCACGCAGAGAAGGTAGAGTCTAGTGTGTATCCCTCCTGACCCGATTACCCCGAGAACCACGGGCTCTGAGCATGGACGTAAGGTCTGAGGCCAAGACTATGTACTCAGCCTTTGCATCTCTGCAGAGAAGCACCACATTTCACATTCACAGGCTGTCCGTTAACCTTGAACCACTATATCACAAGTGGAGCACCACTGGCTCTGAAAGAGAGCAGAGGAGCGTGTGAATGCCTCAGTGAACACCTAGCATTACTAACTGCTTGAAAAATAGTCAACTCACATATCATGGGTGGTAGGTCGGTAACATCTTCTTTATGGAAGCAAACACATACTCCAGTCACAAATAACAGAGCTAGGACTAATGGGCAGAAGTTAGAGGGAGCTACCTTCCCATGGTGGCTTCTTATGTAGTAGAGATGTTGCTTCTTCGTTCCACCCTCCCTTGCCCCATCTCCAGATGTTTCATATCTACTGAAGATAAATTTACTTATTAAACATTTTGTTGTATTTTATGTTCTTATAACAAGTTATAGGGAGGCATTTTTCAGCCCAGTGTAATAAAGAACTTCCCAACAATTCAAGTTCCCTGAAACTAGAATGCATCGTGTCATGAAGAGCTGTGGTCCCTGTTACTACCAGTGTTTAGGGACAGCCATGAATTAACCGCTCCATTAGGGATAATATAAAAAAGATCCATCTCCCAGGAGGAGAATTGGACTAGGTACCTAGATCCCTTCCAACTGTTATCATCTGAAATTCCATTCTATTGCTCAGCTTGAATATCCACACATCACATCGATGTGCTCTCGATCTCACTGCCTTTGACACCTATTTACACTTTGTTTATGCCATTCTGCTATCCGTTTCCATTCATTTTATGTTAATTTTTAGTGTTTGTACAAGGCAATTCAATGTAGTACAGCAATTCAACAAGCATTTATTAAGTGCCTGCTGTCCGCCAGGTACTGAATTAGTGTAAAATAGAGAGAGGGAGAGATCTGTGAGGGATATACAAAGACAAAAGCAAAACAAGGCAACCTAGAAAATTAAGTACAAAATATGTATTAGACCTGGGCCCAGAAGGAGGGCATGGGCGGGCGTACGGCTAATATGTTGTAAGGACCAAATGAGATAATATACGTACGGCACTTTGCAAATTGTAAAGCGTTATCTACATGCTAGCTGTCGTTTTATTGTTGTTCTTGTTAGCTGTGGCAGGGCAGTTCAAAGACTTGTACTGTAGGTGATTAATGTATAGGTCTTTTCCCCTTGTGGATATCTGACTTTTAACACATTTTCAGTGATTGGTTAAACAAGCTTTTATGAGATTGGACAATATCTTTGCTTCCATCTGACTACTGTACTAAAATTAGATGCGATTTGTAGAAACTAGTTGGTTAAATTTGAAAGAGATGGGGAGCTCTAGAATGCTAGAAAATTACATGGAGGCAGCTGGTGGTGCACTGGATAAAATGCTTGACTTGGAGTCAGGAAGACCTGAGTTTAAATCCAGCCTCACACACTTGCTAGTTGTGTGACCTTGGGCAAGTCACTTAACCTTTGCCTCAGTTTCCTTGATTGTAAAATGGGGATCAATAATAGCGCCTACCTTATAGCATCATTGTGAGGATCAACTAAGATCATATTTGTAAAAAACCCTTAGTATAGTAGGCACTGTGTAAATTCTTTTCCCTTCTCTTAAATATATCATCAGGAGATGGGCCATACTACATTAACATCAAGTCTGTGGTCAGCTTTAGCAGGTCCAGAGTAGACAGTGTAACTACAGGAGCTGAATGCTGTCTTTCTAGTCTCTTAGAAACAAACATAACTCTATTCACCTCTTCCCTCCCATGCAATTGTTCGTCTTCTGCTGTAGTATGAACAAGAAATCGCCAAGCTGAAAGAACGCCTGAAAGTGTCGAGCCGGAGGCTGGAGGAGTACGAGCGAAGGCTCCTGGTGCAGGAGCAGCAGATGCAGAAGCTGCTGATGGAGTACAAAGCCAGACTGGAGGACAGCGAGGAGCGTCTACGCCGACAGCAGGAAGAGAAGGACAGCCAGATGAAAAGCATCATCAGCAGGTGAGGGAGAGAAAGGCGGCAGCCCATGTTAGCGTTGGAACAAACACTGGATCAGATTTCAGAGGATAAGAAAAAATCCTTTTATTTTTTAATCCCCTTTCAGCTGCATTTACATCCATTGTTCACCTGCTGTGGGCGTCCAGCGCCTGCCTCTTGACTCGTGATGCTTTCCAGGTGTGAAGCTCCCTAGAAAGCCAGAATTGTCCTTTTCGTTTTTTAAAATATATTTTCTTTAAAATGAAAGAAAACAAATCATGAAGTGACTCCCCTGAGAGGTCACAAAAGAGAGAGGCTCAGAACAGTCTTGGAATGCTCCTGCTCTGGTAGTTAGCCTTGACTTGGGAGGAGAATCTTTGCAGCAGGAGAGCCAGCTAGCTGTCTTCTTGATTCATAAACATCTTTACAACCCAAATGCCTTGGAATTTGGCATGCTCTTCCTGAAGCCACTTTTTTTGTCTTTATTCACTCTGGCTGTGTCCACAGAGAAAAGAGCGGCCCTCTTTATTTTAAAGGGAGTAACAAAGGAGTGGTGTAAGGTGGAGTATTTTGAAGAATAAGGACTATTGTCTCTCCTTTTATGCATTACCCGTTTTCTTCTTTGATTATGTGAATGCTCTCTTCTTGACGTATTTCAGGTTAATGGCTGTTGAAGAGGAGTTGAAGAAGGATCATGCTGAGATGCAGGCAGTTATTGATGCAAAGCAGAAAATCATTGATGCACAGGTAAGAGGGCTTTGAATCTGACTGTGAGGCATTTGTTTACAGTAACTTTTATTCCCTGTCCTTCCACCCCATGCAAATACCAGGGCACATGCTGAAAACGTTGTTGATGAGAAACTCCTGACAGTTATCTCTTTTCAACCCTAAAGGGACATTGGTTGACTACATGACCTGTATTATTTTTTCTCCCCTGTACTGGAGAGTAATCCTTTAATAGAGTCCCCCAGCACTAGTGTTCTTGGGGCAGTTACCTCAGAAATCTGTCCTTGTGCATGATGAGGTTGACTTCTTTTCTTATGGAAGTAGCCAGATCCCCAGGGTATAAAGAGGACAAGTGCCCTGCATGTGTCTGGCTTGCGACCTCCACTGACCATTGCCTGGCTGTAAAGTTCACGATCTTGTGAGTTATGTCCGCCGTGCCATGGACTTGTTAGCCCATGGCAAACTCAGGATAGCTGGGAAGATAAGTCAAACCAGGGGCTCTGCTCTGTGCTGCTGTCTCCCCAGCCCTGCGTTTGGCAGTGCTCTTTGGGATCAGCTTGGCTCCCCTTCTTTGTTGGCGCTCTGCTTAAAGGACCTCTTTTGGTAACCCTAAAAGACACAAGGCGGCGAGATCACAAGTTGGATGCCTGTTCCTGGGATATTATGGAATAGAGGCTGCCAAGAGCATCTCCCATGCGCTACAGAACATCTGTACTCAGAGCCAAATCTGGGAGACAGGAAATACTTCTAACTTGCCACTTCCTTTTTTTTTTTTTTTTTTCTTTCCAGTGCAAGGAATATTTTCTCTAAAAAGGCAGGTGCAGTTTTGGTAATTGCTACTCTGGCAGCTGGGGACTGTTATCTCTCTGAAAATGCTTCAGTCAGCTTTGCATTTCTCACATTCCAAACCCATCCTAGGACTAGGTTAGAAACACACATATCACGTGTGTCACTGAGCTGTGAAATAAAAATGTGAGCGTGGCTTAATATATGCTCCAGATCTGCTGCGCCCTCCTGAGCAGCCCTTACCTGTTAGGCTCCTGGCAGATTCCAACTTCCTACCATTTTTGGTATAAAACACATAGGGAAAGTATATTCATTCGGGACTCCTCATAAGGTCACTCATGTAATTTTGGAGTGTGAAGTTTCAAACACAGCCTGTTTTTCCCAAAGTAAGACAGTCACATGATTGGAGAGTCAGGTTGAAAAGGTAGTTTGTGGGTGGAATGCTTTGTGGTTGGATATTCACCATGTGGCTTATAAGTCTCCCTCAGACAGTGAGCGACCACCAGTGTAGAGTCTGGGAGGATGGGTCAGTGTGTTTCCTTGTCATCAGAGCAGTTCCCCTAAATGTTCTGAACCCAGAACTCTGCAGTGAACCAATAGTTAGAGCTCTGATTACTCGGAAGAGAAGCTTGGTGCAGTTATTTTATTTAAAGTCATTTTTACCTTGCCAAATCAACTTTAGAAACCAGCAAGAGCCACCTTTGTCAATCTCATTCTGTAGCAGAGACAAGCAGATCAGAGGCCTAAGGAAAGAAGTCAGGGTCAAGAAAGCAAAGCCGTGTCAATTTCGCAGCCAGGTCTGAAATGTGGATTGGTCACAAAAATCACCTGTTCTTGTGCAGAGTAGTTTTCTGCTCTCAACTGACTGAACGAGGGTAATTCATCATTTGTTTCTGAAGATACCTTCTCCCCATTCCAGTTTCTAGGGCTTAGTGTGGGGTTATACATCAAGAGTAACAGACAGAAAAGGTTAAAGGGAAGGAAATCTGAGTTTTGGATCTTGATAGCTATGAAGACAGCCATTTAGAATCTGCCCTAAGATCATCAGAAGGGCATGGGAAGGCAAGCAGAAGGTCTCAAAGTAGAGAAATGAATGAATTGATCTTTTGTGCAATACCAAAACTAGAGAATTGTTCTGAACCAAATTTTAAGTGTTATATTAGTGATTTTTAAAACTTCTTTTTGCCAAGGGCCATTTTAATGATCTCAGCTTTAACTTAACAGCTTCCCCTTCCAAACCACCCACTGTAGCTGTTTCCTCTTAAGCCAGGACAGGAGGATGGTACTAGGGGTGGGATAAACCTTGCTCACTAAAATTAGCGAGATAAAATGGCACTGGTTCTTAAGACACACCAATTAATTGAAATCTTCGTTTTGATAAATATATTACTAATTCATGGCAGAAACCAAAACATAAATAGATAAAATAAAATCATAGAATCTGAGTTGGAAGGGAATTGAGAAACCACTATGTGAATTCCCTGCCAGATATGTTAATTTCTAAAAACATTAATTCTACGAGAAGACCAGCCTGTGAAGCCCCCAAAAGATACTTAGAGGTGGCAGTAGCTCCTGAGCTATATTTTGACAACTGCTTTATGCAGAAGCCAAATGCTGTTGTTATAAATGCCATCACAAAGACAGCTTCTGTGAATAACAGACATTTTCAAGTTAATGGTCTTGTCTTGTAGAAGAATTACAGATTTTTAAAAAGAATTAGGACCATCCCATGGGATTGTCTGTAAAGGTTCTTGTGTACTGATACTTGTGATACTGATTCCTTCGGAAAAAGTTACTCACACCATCAACTGCATTCCAAAGCTTTGCAAGAGTTAAGTAAATCATCTCTTCTAGCATCAGCATCCATGGTAGAATGCAAACTCCTGGAGGTCAAGGCCTACTTCCTTTTTATCTTTGTCTCCCTAGTACAGTTCCTTGCATGTATACTAGGTACTTGATATTTATTGAATTGAACAGACTCTTGTTGAATTGAAAAATTATTTGGGGATGAAAATGTCCTGTGGAGGTGAGCAATACTGTGTAATATCTGACATTTACCTTGATGTCCCTCAGGCAATGTTCCCAGTAGTATAAAGAGAGCACCTACATAGGTAAGAGTCTTACTTAGGCTGGGGACACATCACTACCCCAAAACTCCATTGGGCAAATGTCTAGGAAATTAGCCGATATCCATGTTTGTCTTTTATCTCTTTTGCTAAACCATCTTCCACCCACTCTGTGCTTAAATTGCCCTGCAGTCCTGTCAGAAAGGCTTGGCCGCAGATCCTAAGTCCAGCCTCCCTCTCCACAAATCAGTCGGTTCTACTCGACCTGTAGTATGGGTTTGGTCAGACGGTCTTGTTACTGAAGCAGCATGAGAAGAAGACTGACTGTGGAAGGTCCACTTGTCCCTGACATCATCATACAGGAGACGACGGGATATGGAGAGGTCGGCCGTGGGCCAGGCACTGCTCCCGTCTTTCAGCTCCCAGTGTGGGGAGAGTGCACTGTCACACCTGCTATCATGAGGCTTAGTGAGACCCAGGAGGTCCCCACACTCATCAGTTGGAAAACAGAGGAGCAGGTGCTACTGTATCACTATTGCAAGTGACATCTCCACTGTGTTAAATTACAGGTCATTAATGGGGATGAGATTATTCAGACAGGCAAGTAATCCCAGTGCAGTCCATTCTGTAGCTGACCAGCACCTAGTCTTGGCCCCGGGCACTGGCCTCCTACGCATTCCAGCTCCTGGCACTTCCCACACTTGAATTCCTCTGGGTCAGGAATGAGTTTGTTGTGTTTCTTTTGAATCCAAGCAGAGTTGAGAGTGTCAGAGCATCATCCACCTTCTCAACTTGGCCTTCAAAAATTCCAGTTTGATTTTGGGAATGGATTCTTAAAGGGGTGGTTGGACTGTGCAATTGCCCTTTAAATGTGCTCATTTTCTCCTCTTACTAAGACCTTAGTTCTTGCTACATGTCTTAATTTTTGTTTCATGGGTTCACAGGTTCCAACCTGTACTATGGAAAGGAGTTTCTTCATCAGTGAGATCAAAGATCCATCTAAATATTTGATTTTTGAGAACGAAATTTGTGAAATTCAGCCTCCACTGGGAGAGGACCATGGGCTTCCCCAAGTTAAGCAGAAAGGATTGGTTTTGCCCTTAAATCAATTTAAGCAAATTCTTTTGGTCCTATATATTTCCCGACTGTGGAGAAGAGTATTTCCACACTTTGATGACCCTCTATTTCTGGGGACCGCTGTGGCCATTTGTCTCTAGCCTTTAAAAAGTCTATATATTCACAGGTACTCTCGGTGATAACAGCAACAAACCACCTCCTTTGTAGATTTTTTTCCTCCATCTAGTTTAGTTTAGCTTTGTAAATTGTCACTCATCTGTTGCTACAGAACGAATTATAACTCATGGCAAGATAGTAATGCCAATTTCTTTTTTTTTTTTTTTTTTTGCCTTCCTTCTTAGAGGAAGAAAGGCTGGTGGTAATAATAGTAACAGTGTGAACTAGCAGATATCCTCTCCCCTCTCCTTATTTAATTAATAGGCTGGGTTACCCTGTACAGGAAAATAATATTCCCACAATGTCTAGCTTTGCCAGACATTTTCCATGAGTCTTCACTGTGTAACTGGTCCTGGTGCTCCGTAGCTCTCCCTGACACGTGCCGTAGGTATAGATAGCTTTGAATTGTTTCTACTTTCAGTACTGTGTCTGAGCCCTAGCCTTGTGGGTACCCTCCCTGTGACTCTAGGCTAAACTTCACCTTATTGGCAAACAGTATTCTCTGACACCCTGAAGCCTGAACTCTTCATTCAGACCATGAGAACAGTCAGGACTTTTTTCCCCTGAAAAATAGAAATTTTTTGTTGGAAAAATCTATTATTCTAAACTAGACCCCTCTTCCTAGTGTCTGCAGTATCTTTGTAGTGCTGATTTGAGGAAGGGGATGGCAGCTTAGAAATAATTGTTCTAATGACCCCACTTTGCTTTGAGCTGCCCTTTTTTTTTTTCATCTTCATGCATTCAGCCCTTATTTTTTTTTTTTCCAAAAATAAATAATGTTAAAACAAAGCTTTTCCAAAGAACAAAAAAACAAAACAAAATGAAAACTTACAATTGGATAGCTTTCTTGGAGTAACTCTGAGCTGGAATGGGTCTAGGAGCCTTGTGTTATCTGTTTGTTTTCATGTGTTACATCCATGGCATCCACCTTTAAGTCACACCTCCCTCCCCCAACTTCAAGCAACTCCTAGTTCGAGCTTTCGGCTGCTTCTCTCCTCTGTTGCTGTTGCATCTTCACTTTGCTGGTGACTTCAGGCTGCTGCCATTTTCTGTTTTAATTTGGAGCATAACATGGGTTCTTTTCAGATGTGACTAGTATGTTGTCTGTAGGACCAAAAGTCCATAGGCCACTTGTACCTTTTCTCTGTAAAATGAAACATCTGGTGCTTCTTTCTGTGCCTCCATTTTCTATTTTCCAACCTTAAGACCAAAGCATGCTGTGCAAGAAGACAGCTTGCCATGTAAAGACCGATTAAAGGAGACTTCATTACGTGAGCATGATGTGCCCCACTCTGTCACTTAACAACTGCAGTGTGCCAAGAGCTCATTCAGAGTGTGTCTAAATCTTAAAAAATGAATTAATAAGTGACAAAGCGTGACAAACCAAGACACAGCAGACTTATGGAGAACAAAAGATTTCGAATAACAAAGAGGCAGAGATGTTCCATTTTACTGGGAAACGTTGAGATGGCTGACTGTCATAGAAAATGCCAGAATTGTTGATGATGGCTTTAAACTTGTGCATAGTAAAGAAAGGCTATTTTTAAAGAAAAAAAAATTGTAGCAGGCAAACGTCACTCAAACCACACTTGTGTATCTATTGCAGGAAAAGCGGATCGTGTCCCTGGATTCAGCCAATACACGGCTGATGAGTGCCCTAACCCAGGTGAAGGAACGCTACAGCATGCAGGTCCGCAATGGCATCTCTCCCACCAACCCCACCAAGCTTTCCATCACGGAGAATGGTGAATTCAAAAACAGCAGCTGCTAACCAGCTCTCCTGAAGAGGCAATGGAGATTGAAAGATATTGTATTGGACAATACAAACCCGTCCCCCTATCCCCAGCCCTTCACCCTGCCCCTCCAGGTTTACGGAATGCTGCTAAATTGGAATGGCAACATAAAGGAACTATTGAGTGGTGAAAGAAACCATCTCCTTCAGGGCATAAGACTAGGACTAGAGAGTCAATGCTCTTTTTCCATATCTCTTTGTACATAAAGAACTCAGTTCTGGGCCATGTACAGAAAATGCCACTGTAATATACCAAAAGGAAGTTAATAATGTAGATTATCTTTTTAATTATTGCTATTTTTATTATTGTTGTTTTTCTCTTGTTAAAAGCACTGCAGTTGGTAGAGGAGGAAAAATAGGAACTATCTGTGAGTGAGGAAATGAGCTTATAGGTTTAGTAGAAAGAAACTTTGTCTGACTGATACAAGCCCTTGGAGTGCAACAACAGATTGGCAGAATTCACTTTTCAAGGTATTGTTCTGCTGGTTTGAAAACTATCTTTGATCCCTTGATCCGTTTTTTTAAAAAAAAAGAATGGCAAGACCCAATCAATAGAAATCTATACCAGTGGTCAGTTAAGATTGGATCTGGTCAAAGAGCCTTTGGCATCCACTATTACAAGGGACAGAGGCCAAAAGTTACTGTAGTATCATTGGACTTTGGGGATAATGTTTAGATTCCTGTCAGTAAATCTATTTCCTTCTCTCTTTGGCAGATTTTCTCTTTAGTAGGCAAAAGAGAATAATATCCGGTTTTAAATAGGGGATTTTTTTTCACCCCAGTTGTAATAAAGGGTATTTTTTTCATTTTTAGAGTTTACAGAACTGTAAATATTTGTCTGTAAATGCCATCCTGCATCTTTGTATACTTTAGTGTCCTCTCCTCACCCATAATGGAAGCAATCATACCAAAAAGGATTTATTCTCCATTATCTAAGTCATCCAAATCTGTTATCCACATTCCATCGGGGAAAAAACAAACAAATAAGCAGATTTATTGTTTCTGCCCTCCTTCCCTTCCCCCTAGAAAGGGCTGACTAAATAACATCAAGACCCTGTATAATTTTTGGTTTTCAAATATATCACAAATGCTTTTCTGATTTTTAAAATCATTATGTTCATTCAGATTTAGATTTTTATCTGTTGGAGTGACTAACTGGTTCTATCCACATTACTACGTCTTCCTCACATTGCCCCCAGCCAAATTTGGAACTGAGTCCAAATCAGAATTCCGACACTTGGTAAAATGCAGTCTGCTCTTCTCCCAACAGGAAACTGAACCAGGAGGCGGGGGTGATAGGCTGTTGGCACACACAAGCTTTCATCTTCTGAGGAGTAGTTAAATCTCATAGTAACAGGGTTGGCTATGGGAAACCCATTTTTTAGCCATGGTTTTCCTATAGGAAATAGTCTAGTTCAGATACAGTCACATGAACTATTTATTTCCTTTGTTCAAGGGGTGTGAAACATTATCTTGGGTGAATAATTATCAAAAGTACAGAATTTTATGCATTAAACAGTTATTATTCATATATAATTGCACAAGTATACATATAACTATGCACAAATAGGAAACAGTCAAACCTTCTATACCGTCAAATACAGTAAGGTCAAAGTGTCTTTGCTATCTTTAGCCAGGTCTTAGCAGTAATTTTGGTTGTGGGAGAGAAGTGTCTAATATGAGTAACAATAATGTTTAATTCAAAATATTATTTTTAAAAGACCATAACAAACCTAAGGGACCAACCATGTGCCTAAAGTAAGCACCCATGGGTGGTGATAGTAGCTTTTTTTCTTCACTATCAGAGTAAACAAGGGGAAAAAAGAGATCATTTATGGTACAACTTTTGTTAATAGAGCAGCCCAGTCAAATTTACCTCCTAATGTTCCAACCCTGTGTTCTTTCTCTCTTCAGCCTTACTCTCTCTCTCTCTCTCTCTCTCTCTCAGGTCAGTTTTTTGTGACCCTCTGTGTTTTCTTGTCTTGTATCTCTGCTTCTTAGTGATCTTTCCCCCTTCCTATATATACTCCCATCACCAACTCCTAATGCCACCAAACAGATTTAAAGTAGGACCTTCTCTCTATTTTAGCTTGCCCACAACTACTGTTTAAAAGTTTGGGAAACCTGTGTGTTCCCATACTTTACTTTATCCTCCATTTTACACACACCCCTTAGAATGTATTTTCACAGACTGAACTAAACATACTTCTTGTGTCTTTCTCCTTCACATTGAAAGTACAGGCCTGATTCTGATCACTTTGAGCCACTTAACACGTACTGCTTTCAAAGAAATGCCCAATTTTGTGAGAATTCAAAGTACTGATATCCTGTCCTTCTTACATGGCTATTCCCAACCCTAGCAAAATTAATTCTACATGCAGCTCTATACCATAGAAAACTTGGTAAATGAATTGTCTGTTTGAATGGTTTTAAGTATGTTATATGAATGATCTCTTGAATTGAGATTCAAAAACTTTAGAGTGTTTGACTATAGATGGTGTCTTGTAGGTTTACCTAAATTGGAAGTAAGCTTTTGAGTGAATGCTGTTTAAGGTGATGGATCAGACTAGATCTCAAGTGTTAGCCTTGTGGTATTCCACTAAAGGTTTTGTTGTGATAAAATTCTGTAATTAGATGTCTAGACCTCGTGGGAATGTATTAGGCATAAGAAACATTTAGTGTGTGGAAGGAGAAGAGGAGAGAAACAATACAGATGTTTCAGGGGCCAAGTTAGCAGGATTGTAAGTAAACTAAGTAGCTACTGTTTTAAAAAATGTTGGCAGATATTATATTTAAATTTAGCTTTGTCCATTGAAAAATTTAGCTTTTTTAAATAATTTTGTTATTTAAATTAGGTTTAAATTTAGATTATCCACTTAAGCCTCTATTCAGCCAAATCTTTTTTTCTGAACATTTCTTTCAAGAATACAGCCCATTAAACATTTGATCAGTAGATTCCAAAAAAAAAGAGCTACAGGAAGGTAATAGTGTCTGTTCTTTTAATTGTTATTTAATATTTATGAGTTTTCCACTTCCAACTTTGTTAGATAATATGACAGAGAAAATCACCGTAGAGGCAAATGGCCCTGCTTCAGCCAGTCGATGAGGAGCCCAAAGACAAGACACAACGACCTTTCTCCTACAAAGGAGACTGTATTGTATGGTAGAGCCAATGGGCATTCAGTTAGATGTCATGCTCCCTGCTCCTCCTGACTTATCACCTGTTTGTTAGGTATAAAATGGTCTTTGGTTGAATAGGATGTGGAATTCTGCAAAGTGCCTGTGTAGGTGACCCCAGGTTATGGGCAGTAGGAAAGACAGTTGAATGAATGTTGCTAAGATTCGGGAAAAGAGCCTCATGTTTCATATTCCTGTCACAGGATCAGCAATCAAGCCTACCAGGTCTGTTCTCTAAATAAGTTAAAAATTCTGTCAACTCATAATGTTCCATGAGCCCCTAAAATAAAAATTGTGAGGGAGGAAAGATTTGACTGGTGCCGGTTTCTTGCCACAAGTTAAATGTAGCATAGTGTTCTTTGTGTAGCATTAGGTCTGTTTGCTTAGGTACTGTAGGCAGTCCGGATCAACTCTCTGTTAGTCTTCTCCCTTTTACTGATGGTGGATTGTCCTGCCTGTCTTTAAAGGAAGAAGTAAGATCCCATGTCTTGGACTGCTATCCATCTCTATGAAACATTAATTATATGCCCTTGAATACGATCTTAACTTTAGAAGTAAAGCTTTTCAGATTTGTGACTACCTCTCTCTAGCCTTGTCATTGGACCTCTACTTCTTAAATCCCACTTACCTTTCACTCTATCATTTCCCTGAATTTAATCAGAATTGCAGTAAATGGGAGAAAAGCAAGGCTTCTCAGTCAGAAGTCCCATATAGCAAGGAAGCTGCTGCAGGGGAAAGCCAGCATTATTTGACTCGGCTTCTATTCCAATCTCCACCTAGGTAATCTCCTGTCCTTGGGCCCTTTGGAGGCCGATTCTTACATCAACTTTGCAAGTTAGACCATTCTAAGTGCCCAAAGTCAGACCTTCAGGCATGCAACAGAGTAGGCCTGGACACACCAGGATTAACTGTGGATCTGGACCTTCTCACTAGCTCAGACTTTCTGCTCCAGAACTCATGCCACAGGCTAAATAACTCCTATTCTGTGCACTTTTGGAAGTACTTTGTGTGTGGGCTTAGCCTTTGAAGAGTATGTATGGGCAGTCACTTACCACAGTTGGCATCCCTTCCCATGTATCCTCCCTCTCTCCATACACTCACACACTGAGAACCAATCATTTAATTTTCAGAATGTCATTTTCAGAAACATATCAATGGAAAGTACCTATTTTTAATAATTCTTAAAAGAAACATTGGAGTTTTGAAACCAGATAGAAGTTCATTTATTATTTTGAATTATTGTCCTTTGTTGCTAAAAGCATTCTCCTGTTGTCAGTACCCAGCTGAGAATACTACACTCTTGATTTTAGGAAGGACCAAAGCAATGAAATTTGCATGAGACAAAATAAATATCTCACGAAGAGAGAAAGAGCCAGAGAAGGATGTATGATCTAAATGTAGACTCGTGCATGTTAGCCTTCTCTACAACCCAAAGAACCACAGTTTTAAAGGAGGCAAGAAGAGTTTAGATTTCCCCACCATCTATAAGATGTGTTGCTATGATATACAGTAATATGGTATGATGGTTTCGACAGGTAACACAGTTTTCTGAGGCCCCCATTTGAGAATATCTACTTCATTCTGTAAAATTAGTGATCATCAAACATTGTTGAATCGCATTGCCCTAACATCATTTCGATTTCATTCTATGCCTTCCTCCTAAAAATGGCAAATGACATGTATTTACATGTATGTACATGCCCCATTTACTTATCTTTAGGAGTAAAGCTTTTCAGATTTGTGTCTACCTCTCTCCAGATATACATGACCATTTATCTTTAAATGTGAGAATATCATAAGACTCTTTGAAAGAATAGGAGGATGATACCATGGGATGTCTTCCTCCAGAGTGGGAAGTCACTGTGTCATCCTGGGCCAAATCTGAGGAGGCCTAGCTAGTTATTTCCTTGCTACTGGACCAAGATAATTTAGAAGTGGTCAGAGAGCCATCCCAACAATGGTTATGCATTGTCGTGTAGTGGGCTAACCAAAGACAAAGGGGGATGTATTTAAAAGATCTTGTTGATGTTCTTGGACACATTTTAATCCCATACTCATTTTGTTTTTCCACTTCAACATTCCCATTTGCCTCTTGGAAATCTCTTTGGTTTAGATCTCCAAACAGGTTACTTTATCACAGTCGTAGGAGGGTATGATCATTAAAATCCAGATCTATCAAAGTTACTATGGTGTATATATATTTGGAGGGTTGGGGAAGAGAATGTCTATGTGTGTAAAACACATATTTTTTGTCATTTCTGAACTCCCAAGGGGGGAAAAGGCTCAAATCATCTCTTCCACAAGAGGTTGAATATAAATTACTCATTGGATAGCCACTATTTGCAAATAAGTTAAAACTAATAATGAAGGTGACATTTTTGACTGGTGCTTAGATATTTCCTCTTACTTTAAAACTAGCTCTCAGAAACAACAGCACATCAACTTGCGTCACTCCCATGAGGAAATTACCTTTTAAAAATAGATTTTTTTTTTTTTCATCTCCAGGGCCTTAATAAGCGTGTGTTACTACACAGGGCTATTTTACAATAATCAAGCTAAATAATTTATTTTTTATTTCATGATAGAGAAATACACCTTAGAAAAACAAAACCCAAGATTTTATTTTATTTTTAAAGCCATATTTTTGTGCTAGTAGCACGTGGATTGTTCCATATGTGAGATCCATATCTGCATTTCATTACCTGGGTTTATTCTAAAGAAGATTTATTTTTGTTCTGTGAATAATTTTTGACGGTTCTTGTACATGTACAGATATAGATACATTTGAGGTCTTTTATTGATATTCCTACAAAGAATACAAATAAACTTTAACTTTAAACATTGGAGAGTAAATTTTTTTTACCCTATGTGACATTTCTCTTATTCGGCAGCAGTGAAATTGGTGGGCTTTGGAGGTTGGGAGTGGAATAAGAAGAAGCATATAGGAAAATGGTTCTGAAGATAATGTCAATATTAAGGATAGTTTAAATTATCCTTTTAGTTACGGATGAAAATATCCAATTTGTCAGAAAATAAGTTATTGATATTGATCCAGCCTTCAGATGTCCAATAATTGGACCACTGCAAGAGATCCTTATCCTAAAGAACTTATGCTACATTCTCTTAGAAAACTTGTAACTGATGAACTTGGAAAATTTTATTTCAAGGGTGAACCTAGTTCACTTGGAAATCATGGACTCATAAATCAAAGTGTGGGTCCATTGGTTTCCATCTTCATTACCACCACTGTTCTGTCTCAACTTGCAAGCCATGTGGAGAGGGGAAAGCTCACATTCCTCATATTCATCCTTTGTTCAAGGTTAAATGCAACAATACATCAATTATTATAATTTCATTCGTGTGGGACCTCGTTCTACTAATGCATATGGCGATTTGTAACTTAGCAGAAATGTTTTAGAGAGCTTTCTAGACTTAGAAAGGTTAAGTAACTTACCCATGGTCATACAGCTAAGATAAAGGTGGGACAAAGATTAAAATATGGTACCTAAATCTTTCCCCATATTGTTCTATTTTCTTGCTCTTTTCTACAGAATCTACCACCACTATTCTGATTTCTGTAGATCAATTTCCCAGGGGAAGGTGCCTGGATAGATTTAGAAGGCATTTAGGTATGAGAATGTATTTAGAAAGCAGCCCCAAATTAGTAGACTCAAGCTACTTTTTGTTCTTTTCAAAGCTGATCCATTTCAGTCTGAATTGCTCATGACCTAAAATAACCTTTACAGCTTCTTGTATCTGAAAGAGTAAAAGAAAAAAAAAAGTATTGATATACCAACCTCTCGAATATTCATGGACTAATTATCCCCTTAGTACATCACCCAAATCTAAAAGAAATATATAACAACCCAGAGAGTGAGAGAAAAACTCACGGTGGGCATATAAATTGTTTTATGTTGTGTAGTAGTCTACAAACTGTTACCCACGACTTGTGTGCTAAAAGCATAAGACATCATTAAAGAAGAATGTAGGAAAGGGTGGTGAGATGGTCATGTAGGAATAAAAAGTGATGGCAGATAGCTAGATTAGTGCATTGGCATCCCTGAGATATTAACAAACTAAAGGAAGGGCTCCCTCTTGCCAATCAAGTGGATCCTTTGTGAGGCAGGAGAAGAGATAGATATTGTGCATGATAAGTTCTAGTGTGGCTATGACCTAGACCAGTGGGGAGGGGATCTGCACCAGTGAGATCATTGATTCACCAGAATAAGATTATCCAAGATCTCCATTGTTCCTCTTCTGTCTCTGCCTGCCTGCCTTCTGTTTCTAGCACCTCCATTAAAGGATGGACCGGAGAAGGGATGAAACCCAAATCTTATTAGTGTCTCTGCTGAGGAGGCTTAGTTGAAACTAGTGATTAGTTTGTGCTTTGGGGATTTTTTATGGATTTCAGTAATTTACATCCACCTTGTCCCCCAAGACTGTGGGTGATAGAGTTGCTGAGAGTTTCACTCTCCCTATCTTTTGGATCTGAAGCTGCAGCCATAGCTGTACATAAGGGCCCCAAAATGAGAGAATGCCTGTGCTCCCATATGCAATCAAATAAGTCATCCCTCAATGTAGAATGGAGAGAACCCACCAGAGCTGGTTAGAAAGTGAAATTCCATATTTTGAATCCAATTTCCCCAATTAAGTCATTATAATTCACTATTTCTATATAGCACTTCATGGTTGCAAAACACTTAAGAGGCCATCATCTCATATTCTAACAGCACTGTGAGGTTCATTAGGACAAGTAATGTGTATGTCTTTTATAAATCAGGGAACTGAGGCTCAGAGACAGCGTGGTGTAGTGGGAAGAGCCCTGGAGGGAATATCACAAATCCTGGATTTAAATTGCTTCCTGTACTACCTTTGCCTCTATGAGGCTCAGTTTCCCCATCTGTAAAATGTCAAGGTTGGTCCAGATCAGGGGTGGGGAGCCTGTGCCCTCAGGACCACATGTGGCCTTCTAGGTCCTCAAGTGCAGCCTTTTGACTGAGTTCAAGTTTTACAGAACAAACCCTTTTATAAGGGGATTTGTTCTGTAAAGTTTGGATTCAGTCAAAGGGCAGCACTTGAGGACCTAGAGGCCTCTTCCAACTCTAGATCCTTGCCAATGCAATTTGCCCAAGGTCACAAAACACTTAACTGGCACAGCCAGAGCTTAAACCACGTCTTCTGACACTAATTCTGCCATCCATTCCTCTAAAACAAGCTGCTTCCGTTGGAGATTAGAGGGGGATGGGCTTGGCCTCCGGGCAGCAGAGACACCCAGGGACAGGTCAGTGCCTGCCAAGCAGCTAACAGTAAAAGACACCCATAGCATATCACTACTTGAAGAAGGCGTCAGATAAACCAGAACAGCTTCAGCAGGATACCGGTGGTCTCTAGGTCAGACCAAAATAATACTTTTTACTATAAGGGATTGATAAAACAGAATTCAAAAGACCTTTAAAGTAAAATATGGCATTTACTTCCTCTTCCATCAATTCCATATTGAAATTCTATGCATGGGTGGGCTGGTCATTTTTCAGAGGAAACCCATTTAAAGAGTCTGTTTTCTATCTGCTGATGCT